TTTTTTTTTTGCATTTTTCCTTTTTATGCTAAAAAAATTTTCTTATCTTGTAGTCTAAAAATATAGAGAGAAAATAATTTAATTTATTTATCAGAACTGAAATCGGACTTAAATTCCGACTACATTGAAAACCGAAAAAAAAAAAAACAAAATTCTAAAACTTTCATATTTATCTCTAATAATTTAAATAGACAAAAATGTCTAAATAAATTAAATTACTCAAATGATTAAATTAGACACTCCTGCCAAATTAATCATAAAACTTGTCAAACAACTCGAAATAATAATTCCTAATAATAAAGTCCATTTCTAACAATAAATGTACCAGAATTAATTAATGAACTGGCTCGATTACTAAATAAAATTTAACCGAGAATACTTTCAACTTAAAATCGAACTTATAACTTAATAATTAGACTCGCAACTGTTAGAGGTATGCTGTAAAAGCTATGTTTTGCAGATTCTATCAATTCCAATTTGATCTAGCAATCATGTTTCGGTCAAAGTACATATGTTTGCAGTTTATTTATTTATGCAATACATACTCCATGTCTTATATTGAGGTAGTGTGGTTCGAAGAGTTTCGAACAGAAAGATCACCTATCGGTTCCTTATAAGACTAAACTATTCGTTCAGAGTCTAGACTGGCAGTGAGACCCACTTGGAAAAAGATTGTAGTGTATTCTCGATTCAGTTGGTCTTTGACTGAAGGATTACACTAGCACTTATGTTAAGTGTTGAACAGGACTACGGAAGGCAAAGGTTATGAAACTCACTGACCGTTGTTGTAACCTCCCCCTTCAGTGATTGATGCGTTCTCTTAAGCTGTAAAATAATATAAAATAGGCATATATTTTTTATTTCTTATTTATTTGATTGACCAAGTGATTCCTATTCTGTTAGGATGACATACGAGGTATTTTGGTAAGTAAGAATAATTATATGATGTGCTATTATAGATTATTTACAGTCACTATGTTCCAGTGCGCTGGATTGATGACGTCCCCGAAATGAGGTCAGAACGGAACATTATGTTACACCCTGCAGGTAGACGATTGTCTGACATAATGGTTAAAGGCTGAGTGGTACTAATTTCGGAAATGAATAAGAAGTTGATTAATTACTTT